TGTCCTGTTCAGGGATCACATCCAATACATCCACTTTTTTGTAACTCTTCAGTGGTGTTCACCTCAACGAAGAGATGTCTTGAGATGTTTGTCTTCTGTGGCGGATATCGAGTAACAATTGATTGAGTGATGAATCAATTAATTGAATGCTTTTTGTTAGTCGGCTGAAACCGGTGTCCAATATATTTGCCTCTAATCTGTCATCAAATTTAATACCAATGCTCTGACCATCGGATCCTTTAAACACACAAAAAGTTAATGTATGGTCTCAAAGACAAAGTGATGGTTCACTCACTTCTCAATCCATAATTGGCTGTCATCTCAATAGCCCTCTCATCGCCGATAGTCATTGTTGACGTACTGTGTATCGGGAGTAGTGTGTAGTACAGCCCTTAGCTGTTGGCAACGCACACACGTGACCCTCTTTGGCGATGCGGCCCACAGTTCGGCGGTACCCAATAGTTGTCGCTCGGGGTCGGCACCAGTGACAAGAACCCCGATTGGGGCCGTTGTTTGGTGCGGCCCGAGTCCGAGTGTAACGGAAGCGACCGTTCTGTTTCCCGCTCCGGCCCCCCGTCAACCACAAAAACACCCCTCGAGTCACGTGTGTCGCAGACCGCCAGCCAATCACGTCAATCACATCTATAGCCTACTAAGCAGCTAGGTTAGTTGACCCAACCACTCCTCGGCATCAACCACGTTAACACGTGATGGCCAGTGATCCACACCTGTTGCCAACAGTTGGCCAACTAAGCCATCCATTAATTCTACCATCAATTCACTACCAATTGTTAGTCCACTGAAACCGGTGTTCAATATATTGTTAGCGACGGATCTGAGACGCAATCATCGGTTGGGTCCGACTGTCGGCCCGTTTATTACATTCAATAATGTCTTCGGCGGTGTTGTGCGGCTACGGGTCGGACCAGAGCTCTCGGTTATGGCTTCGGGTGTCTGTAGTCAGGCGTCTAAATATTCATACCTGTATTCAATGGTATTGTTTGAGCGCATGTTATGTTCAAACTCTGTATCTCTTTGTCGCTTACAATTGTCTTCAGTCCAGTACCTAATGGCAGGTCTGGCGATGACTTGCATTGAGACAACTGTTCAAATAAATGGAATCATCGCTCCATTACTGTCTTCAAATGGTTTGCCTTTAATTTAACGCAAAATTTAATACCAATGCTCTGACCATCGGATCCTTTAAACACAAAATAGTTAAACATTTGGTCTCAAAGACAAAGTGATGGTTCACTCACTTCTAGCAATCCATAATTGTCTTGAGATATGTTTGTCTTCTGCCCCCGCATTGTGTCCACCGTTTGGATGATTATCTGAATCGATGAATATTATGAAAAATATAAACAATAAAAACATGGCTTAAGTTTTAAAACATACTCATCGCAAGTGTTGTCCACCAATTGGTTGTCGGCACTGGAAGTGGTGATGATTATCGGTCATAGAAGGTTTGGCCACCGGTATAGCATTTGGCCGGTTGTTGGCATCATCTGTAGGCTATCGCCGACTGCTCTCTGGCATTGTCTTTGAAATGGTTTTCCTCTAATTTGTCATCAATGCTCTGATCATTGGATCCTTTAAACAAAACAACAGTTAATATTTGGTCTCAGAAACAAAGTCATTGTTCACTCACTTATTAATACATAATCGGTTGTCATTTGAATAGCTCTCTCATCGCCGGTAAACATAACCGCCACCGATGTTATGACCAGTTATGGCCACTGTATGGCCGCACTCGCAAACCGCCAGCCAATCACGTGCGTAGGTCTATAGCTTACTAACCAGAGTCTTCGGCATCAACCACACAACACGTGATGGCCAGTCATCCACGAGTGCTGCCAACAGTTCCAACTAATCTATCCATTAATTCAATGCTTTTTTATAATTGGCTGAAACCGGTGTTCAGTATTTTGTTTAGCGACAGATCCGATGCTAAGCCAATGGCAAGTCTGTTGGGTCGGACTGTCGGCCCATTTGTTAAATCCAATGATGTCTTCGGCGGTGTTTTATGCCGTTCTGACCGTCGGGTGCTTTGAACACAAAAAAAAACATTAAACACGTGGTCTCGAAGACAAAGTCATAGTTTAGGTTCACTTCAAAGTGAATAGTCTTGAGATTATAATCATAGGATGGGATAAAACATTAGATCACTTATACTTACATCGGTTCCATCGGTGATAACACACGCAATCATTTTGCACGCAATTGACCACTGATTAGTTGTTGGTGTCTTTGACCACAATTGAATCATTGATGTCAACCGTGCGCTCAATCCCTGTCCGACCAATTGATGCCATAACTGATTGATTGTCTCGTCAGACAATCGATGCCTCACTTTTGGGTCAAATTTTGTGACTATTTTTAGTCTCAATTCAGGGATTTAAAAACATAAACCAATTATAAGTGTTTAATAAGTATTTTATTAGTCATTTGGAAAATCCTATTTTAGTCACTAAATCATATGTTTCACACAAATACTGTTATGCATTATTTATGAGCAAATAATATAAATCATCATGATCTATTACTTTAAACCAATTATTTTATTCCGGGCATGTATTTAATATGTTTATAATTTATAATGGTTATTTATTTATTTTATTTACCATATATGGTATACTTATAATTTTATCGTATGCTTTTGATGTTTGAATCATTGGTAACGTTTAATCTAACGTAAATGTTCCTAATATAACAAATATTAAATTGACATTTATAAAATATTCTCCAGTAATTTTCAGGGAACATTAATAAATTATATTTTAAACTATAAAAAGTTTAACAAACAGATGAATTTTTAATTTAATTAAGCAACTTAAATATTTATTTGAGTTAAATAATCACAACAAATTGTTTGACAAATAATTTTATTGTGTAATTTTTCAAAAACTTATATCATTTTAGCAAAATGGACTCTGGATTTAGTTTGAAAAACCACAAAAACTACAGTAAGAATTATATTAATAATAATTATAATAATTTGTTACAAATTAGTAAATTTATAGATATCTAGTTTATTACTGAACGCTAACAATATAAACATACAGCCAACTTTTAAATTCTTGAATAAATGATAATTAAAATAAACAGTGAAATCAAGATTAGAGAACCTAGGTAAATGCCTTCACGCTTTAATTATGATAGAATTACAACAACAACAATTTTTTATCATTAAAATAAACATTAATTTTACTGTTGAAAATGATATAAAATCAATTATTTAATTTATGTCGTTATAAAAATAATACAAGCTAAGAACTAAGTTATAAAAATGGTTCTAGCTTGAGCATTTCATTATAGCGGTCGAGAACTGTGGCCACTTTCCAGTGACCGCTAACAACATACAGTCACCGGCGGGCGAACAGCCGGGTGTCAGCCGATGCCCAGTCGGCCGACTCTATCTCTTGCAACACTTTCAGCGCCGTCATCTCTGACCTCTCCATCTCAGCCACGAGTCTGTCCATCGACTCCGTCAACGATATACTCTCGATGTCCGCATTGGCGGCCACTATGTTATACACGCCGTCGGGTCGGCCCCCGGCGTCCAACAACTCCTTCTCGAATGAGTACATGTCGTTGCATATTATGATCGCTCGATTCAAGTGCGCGAACAACGCCTGCATCGATTGATGATTCCACTCGGGCTCTGGTACGTACAGGTTGTCCGCGTATTCAATGAGGTGTAATACTGACATCGTTGCAATTGATTTTCCCCTAACCTATGTTGGCATAATAGTTTAGATCACTTTACTTAAATTGTAAAATAAAGTACAAACTTTGATAAATTCATCTAGATTTTTAAATTTACGATTGGCATTAATATCAACGCACTCTGCGATCATACCGTCGATCCATTCCCTAAACACATACAAAAAGCGTCGCTTTTGCACCTCATTTAAGGTCGAATAGACCTCTTCATAGACGGCATACGCGGCCAAACTGTAGGGTTTCCAGCGTATGGCCGACACATGTCGCTCTGAACCACTCATTTCTAGTTTATCGCACACGGCGTACAACTGGCCGATAATTGCCACCGATCTGTCGACGTCCCAATCCACGTGACCATAAATAGTTTCTTGATGGTCGTCAAACACAAAATAATTCATAATCAATTTGAACAGGGTCTCATATTTAGTTTCATCACGAGTGAATGGCCAGAAATAGCCGGTGTACGCCGCGGCTCCCTCCATGCGCTTAAATTGTGCCTTGGTGAATTGGCTGGTGTCAAACGACCATGATAACGCCGTGTTCATCAAGGACTTTACCGTTTGCAACGGATTGCACTCGTATGGCAGTATGGTTGTACATCGCTCGGGTACCGGATATTTACGTATGATCTTTGTGTCTGAGCCGGGTATCAAAGCGGACATAATTATAGCATACATTGATGTAATTTGTTGCCATATATACTGTATATCACATCAAATCAGACAATTACTACTTAAATAAAAATTTTTGAAAACAAGTGTTTAAAAATATGGTAAGTTTTTGTGCACTGAGTGCTTCTTAAATAGCAAAAGGGTTCAAATGGGTTCTAATGGATCAAGCGTTGTCAAACTTACATTAATTTCCTGTTTTAGATAGGATTTAAAGAATCCTTGCAAAATACAGTTCAAGGTAATTCCTATTCATAAAATTACTACTACTACTGTATATTAATTTTGTTAAATATTGTTACAAAAATCCTATTAAATACATTTGATACAAAATAATTAAATACGTTATTTTTAAAGTTAATATATTAGCAATGTTACTTTACGTTTAATTGAAAAATATAATTGTTACTATACAAACTGCATTTTATAAACAGTATTATAATTATTATTATGATAATGAAAGCGTACAATATTAATTTTTGATTATAAAGTTGTTAAATTTATCAAATGAAATTGTTAAATAAAAACAAACAAAAGATTTTAAAAATAATTTATTTTCAATGTAATAAATGTCAATTAAATGTTGTCCATCCACTCCCTGTATTAGAAGGGAATGTTGTCTTTGAAGGGATAGTTGGGTAGAGACGGGACACCAAATGCGTTGAATAGACAGCTCCGGTAGTTTCGGTCCAAAGCCTCCAACTCCGAGATCTCGGCCTGTGTTAGCTCGAAGTCGAATATCTCAATGTTTGACTTAATTCGGTCGACGGACACAGATTTCGGGATTACAATTATACCACGTTGGGTCTGATTTTGTTTGCATGATTAAAATAATTGTTATATATGCGATATTCTATAATTTAGCTAAATTAATTAATTATTGTGTGTGTGTGAAAGATAGATAGATAGAGAGAGAGAGAGAGAGAGAGAGAGAGAGAGAGAGAGAGAGAGCATAATAAAATTACATGGTCAAAAATGTTAACATAAATCAAATTTAACTTGTAATAATACTGATATAATGTCTAACCCATATGTAAATAAATGTGATTATCTTTATGATCTAATCAATTGAATTAATATTTATTTGCAGTTTTGTACCAACCTGAAATTTAATGAGAATCTGGGCAGCATTTTTATTATATTTTGTGCCCAACCTGTTAACCACCTGGTCCTTTAATAACTTATCCTTATCGGGTGCGGCATTATATGGTGAGGTGGGACTGCCGAGAGGTGAAAATGCCGTAAGTGTAATACCACGATCAACGCAAAACTTTTTCAATTTAGTTTGCGCTAAATAAGGGTGCACTTCCACCTAATGCATATCACATACATGCAAACATTGTAAGAAATTTAAACATAATAATTATTAAAAATGTCTAAATGATGTATCGAACACGCCGGAATTACTAAATAATAACAATGTTACCTGGTTTGTGACCGGCCTAATAGTGGCCTTAGTCAACAGGCGCTTGATCTGGATTGAGTTGAAATTGGATATTCCGATAGACCTAACGAGACCGGCGCGTACCGTATCCTCCAGACCCTCCCAGGCCTCCAGATAATCGACATTGCCGTCGATTACATTTCAATCGGCACCGGTAGGCAACAAATCATCATCTACCTGACCAAAACTCATGGGCCAATGCATGAGACACAGGTCCAGATAAGGTGTGTTCAGTTCGGCCAGAATGCGTTTGACGCATACTTGAACTCGGTCGCGTTTGAAAAATGTTAGCCACACTTTGGACACTATGTACAGCTCCTCGCGTTTTACCTAGGTAATAAAATAAATATTATTCAAAATAATTTTATAATTTTAATATTTACCACGCAAGAATAACATTTAAACTATCTGGAATTTTATTTACACTACAGAACGTGTTGATAATTTATTAACTTAAATTAATGCTATAATGAATAAATAAGTGATTTGTAGTTTTACTAGGAAATGGGTTGGTAGTGATATATTAACATACATAATATCATACCTTTCCCTCTTTGATGGCATCGTTGATAGCCTTCCCCACCTCCTCCTCGTTCTGGTAGGCGTAGGCGCAGTCTATGTGCCGATAGCCCGCATCGATGGCCGCCCGCACAGTCGCATAGAGGCTGCCGTCGGGAGCTGACCGAAAAGTACCCAAACCGACCACCGGTATAGACAAACCGTTATTGAGTTGAATATTTGGCACTTGTTTAGACTCATCCATTTTATTGTCTATTCTCAGCGAGTTTTATTTGAAAATAAATCAAATTGATATAAAAATAATTATCAATTTATCACTAACAAGGTCAATAGTTATCAAAAATGTATTTTATTCCAACATGTTATAAAATAAATTTATTTTAAAACGCTTAACATACGTAAAATATAAATTAGATCAATTTTTCATTATTTTTATTTGCCAATCAAATCAATGAATTATTATAAACTATTTAATATTTATTATAATTGATTATTTTATATAAACTTTGTATTAATATTGTTAGCAATAAATGCAGCGAGTTTAAGAAAATTATACTAAAATAGAGTTACTAATAATGAGGAACCCTTTTAGAACTGTTACCATGAATATGTAACAATGTAAATGTTGTAATTACTATAAAAATTCTTTTAAATAATTAGCTGCAAATAGTTTAAAAGTAACAGTTGGAGCAATATAGTTCATTCATTCAGTCATTTCTAATATAAAACTGGGAATAATTGTACTTTTTAAAAATCACACATGAACAATAATTATTTTAAAAAATTATGATATAATATTTTACAAAATAAACATCTGGTCTATTAAATTTTGATAATTTAAAATTGATAAAAACTATTTTAAAAAGGTTTGAAATTTTAAAATATCATACTATCGTATCTATTGAGTCATTTGTTTAGTAAAAAATGTAAAATAAAATATAAATTTTTAAGTAATTCAGATTTAATCAAATAATTAAACAAATTTTTTATTCGTGCTTTTATTGTGATTCAATAAATTTCATTTCATAGTTGTTGTCAACCGATTCAATGGTGTATTAGAAGGGAATGTTGTCTTTGAAGGGATAGACGGGATGACCGGGAATGCCGTTCACGTCGAACACACAGCTCCGGTAGTTTCGGTCCAAAGCCTCCAACTCCGAGATCTCGGCCTGTGTTAGCTCGAAGTCGAATATCTGGATGTTTGACTTAATTCGGTCGACGCTCACTGATTTCGGGATCACGATTACACCACGTTGGGCCTGATGGAGTGGGTTGAACGTAGCAAAAATTAATATTATGTTAACGTTTAAATTTTTGATATAAAGTTACTAGAATTGTGATATAACTTTTAATGCTATAATTTAGCTATATTAAAATAATAATTGAGAGAGAGAGAGAGAGAGAGGGGGGGGGGTTTGATGTAAAATTGTAATTGATGAGTTTGTTCCCATTGTAAAATAAAATAAATTTTCTATTATAATCAATCGAGTTAAATAAATACTAGTTTACAGTTTGTACCAACCTCAAATTTAAGCAGAATCTGTCCCACATTCTTCTTATATTTAGTGGCCAAACGGTTTACCACCGGATCCTTTAGCAGCTTATCCTTGTCGGAGGCGGTGTTAACCTGTGAGCCCGGATTGCCCAGGGGCGAATACGCGGTTAGTGTAATACCACGATCTTCGCAAAACTTTTTCAACTTAGTTTGGGCCAAATACGGGTGCACTTCCACCTATATCATAGACAAAAACATGTTTAAAATTTAAAACATTGCATAATTATCACATTATTAAATAATTAAACACATTTATGCTGTATTAAAGCACAATATTTACCTGGTTAGTAACCGGCTTAATAGTTGCCTTGGTCAATAGGCGCTCGATTTGGATTGAGTTGAAATTGGATATACCGATCGACTTAACGAGTCCGGCGCCTACAGCGTCCTGCAATCCCTCCCAGGCCTCCAGATAGTCAACCTTCCCGTCAACCACTTTGCCATCGGCACCGGTAGGCACCAGATCTTCGTCCACCTGACCAAAACTCATGGGCCAATGCATGAGACACAGGTCCAGGTAAGGTGTGTTCAGTTTGGCCAGAATGCGTTTGACGCACACCTGCACTCTGTCGCGTTTGAAAAAGGTCAGCCACAGTTTGGACACGATGTATAAATCCTCCCGTTTCACCTAGGTAATAAATAATAATTTAACTAACTAAGTAAAACTGGTCATAAAATTAAATTTAGCTTGTATAATTTGATATTGAGCTTTTGCAATTTTTATATAACTTTAAAAACAAGTATATTTATTCAAAACTACATATTATTTCCAAAGAATTTTTTAATTAACTTAATTCAATCTAGATATTTTTGTTTTTTATTTGGAGTAGTAGTGATGGTGTGCCATACCTTTCCCTCTTTGATGGCATCGTTGATAGCCTTCCCCACCTCCTCCTCGTTCTGGTAGGCGTAGGCGCAGTCTATGTGCCGATAGCCCGCATCGATGGCCGCCCGCACCGCCTTATAAAGGCTGCCGTCGGGGGCCGACTGCCACGTGCCTAAACCGACCACCGGTATAGACAGACCATTGTTCAGCTTAATGTTGGGCACTTGTTTCGGATCAACCATTGTATTAGCTATTTAGATCAAGATAAAATTATATTTGTTTAATTTATTAATTTAATTATTAGTTTAATTATAAATTTTAAAAAATGTTTAGTTAATAATTAAATTTATTTGTAACTTTATTTAACTCACTTGTCAGACAGTAAAAGTAATTTTATCTGATAATTATTAAAATGCTTTCAAAAAAGTGATTTATTAAGTGGCAAAATAATTATCAGCAAATGTTATTTGAAATATATTTTAAATGTGATAATATGATTTATAATTAATGATTCAAATTTATTAACACTATGTTCTTTTTTCATTTCAATGTCAAATATGTTTAATATCAAATTAAATTGCAATATTATTTTAAAATGAAAATTCAATTTAACTATATTTTACTGTATAAATTATACAGTATAATGTTAATGTATGTGAGTGAGTGAGCGATTTTATAAAATTTTTATTAAATGACTGTAAATTAATTTAAATACCATATGCAAATATTAGTATAAATTTTTTTAAATTCTTCTTAAAATAATAAATATCATTTATAAAATAAAAACAATGCTAATTTGTATTATGTATACAAACCAATTATCACATGTAACAAATTGTTTTTAAATTAAATAATTTCAAAAACATATAAAGTTCCTTAAAATCATGAAATTACATTATTAAATTTGCCCAATTAAATACTATTTTTACAATTGAATTAATACATGGGTTAGGACAGTGAGGTTCAAGGATACGGGTATTAAATTTGACTAAAATTGCTTTTGTCTTTGGTCTATGTATGCGAAATAAAATTATATCTAATCAAATAAATCATATAAGAATTTATATAACACTATGAGGCCAACAAGCTTATCATCATTTAATGTCTTGTATACACCATTACTTTAATACAGTATTTAATATCTTACATATCTAAAGCTCTCTAAATTGTACGATAAGTTTTGTATGATAAAAATTACTATTTTAATGTAGACACTATTAAGCCCCTATTGTATATCAATAGTTATTTGATATAAATTGCACTAAAATCATAGTTTTAGTTTATAACACTAGATATTATGTAGTTTGGGAAACCAAATGACACGTTATATAATTAATAACTGTAGATATTTTATAACTATTGTTATATTTGAAAATTTAGTTAAAATAACACCTATTCAAATAAATCTGCAAATAATGCAAATCAATTATTTTTGTAAAGCATCACATATGGTAAGATTCATCACAAATTTGAAGGGCTTTAAACAAAATTGACGTGGTTTATAATTCACCTTGTTAATAAGTAGTACCACTCATATAAATGTACACTATACTGTATATGATTATACCATGAATAAGGTATAAATTACAAAGCATATTAAAATATTATTTGCTCCTACAAGTGCTTCTAGACGATAGCTAACATATGGTTAATAATTATTAAAAATAATATTTAATTCAATAATTTATATATTAACTGTTTGTTTCATTATAAGTATAATGAGTATATAGTTAAATAAAATATACTATATATT